CCTGATTTGAGCACCTTAGATTATGCTGGCCTCATGGCGTGGAGCACGACTGGAAGTGATACAAGTACTTCGCGAAGTGCTTGATCATGTGTTGAAAGAACCAGGTGTCCCAGATAGTGTTATGTATAACCGTGCAAGAGTCGGTCGCGTTTCGTTTATGCTTATTACGTGTGCTGACACGCTCTTATTAGGGACTTCTTCTCATTGGAGCCGTTTTCAAGTCCACTGTTCCGGATGAGTCGGATGCGGAGCGCAGAGAGCTAGAAAGGATGGTAGCCGAGGCTGCAGCACCCAAACCGAAACATAAGACTGCGAAATCCAAGCGGGAAGAGCTGCTTAAAGCGAAAGAGTTTGCGGAAAAGCAGGCGAAGGAGAAACCTTCGCCGTCGCCGTCGCCTACCCCTGCTGCAGCTCCGGCACCTGAGCCTTCTGCTTCTGCGTGAGTATGATTATTGATTTACGTCTTTGCTATGTTCTCTAGAATAGGGTTTTCTTATCTTTCATGCCTGGTATCTTAATGGAATCTAGTTATCTTTAAACCTTTTCTGTGCTGCGGGAAGACTGGGAATATCCAACTATGACTCAGACAAGTCTCCTCTTGGCTTTCATTGGCTCGACTCGGATGGGGATGGAGTACGGTGACAAGGTGCATGTCCGCCTCTCGCGGGGTTGCGAGCCGTCTTGCCGTCGCCGACCTACGGTTTACGTATCTTCTATGACACGTTCAACGCGCCTGCGCTCCCGACGAGGACAAAAGAGCGCCCTCTTCATTATATTCTCCGTCCCTCCTTTCCTTCCTTTGTCTGTCATTTGGCATTATCTGCAGGCGACCTGTTCGTGGCATTCTAATGCGAGGCGCGCGCCACTTGCTTCCTAACACAATGCACTTCCGCATCCTACTTCATTCATAGTCCCTTACGGTCGTTTGCTGCTGCTGCTAGATATCGAGGACTCTGGGCGTTCCAACGAATGCCAGTTCTGTAGCTCGCAAGACAAACCTGAAGAATAGCAAGTCCTCGATGCTCTCTATGCAGTATTTGCCCGGAAATGTGGTGTCAGGGTGATATTATCACTGTCAGAGAATGGAATACGAGTCACAATTTCTTTCGTCAAGGTCTATAGGAGTTGGAATCACTAAGTCAGCTGTTCGTTGGATGCAACAAGCTCAGAACGGCGTGCTTCTGACATTCCAGATCATGTATTTTACTTTTAGTCATGAGGAGGCTCGCAGACTGCCTGAGAACTATCTCGGCGAGAGGAGTAAAGCAGCGTTTTCTGACCGATCTGATTATGTTGAACATCATGAGCACGTCAATACTTGAACAGGCCAACAATTTCCTCGATTCTCTGCGTCTTGCCCTCTACTCGTGATATATATAGGATGGGTGACCAGAGAGCTCGACGCGATCTTTCCGAAACAGCCATGGTACATTTCTCACGACGCGTCCTAATTTCAGTGCAAGATGAGAAATCATAGATGAAAGGATGCAGGAATTTGACGTGACAGGTGGTTTCCTATACATACGCGTTCCAAAATACAGTCACTAATTAATCAAAGCAGTATATCATTGAAGGTCAATTCACCGATGTCAAAAATTAATCCGTCAAAGTGCACGTACCTCATGGTGATTAATGTAGCCGTCTGAATGTCTTTCATTGATCAACTACAGAAGCCTTGGTTCGGGCCTCGAATTCTGCTTTGACCTGCAACGCGATCACGTCAGTAATATTTTCCAATAATAAGGTCGTGCTCACAGCTTTGAGGAATGCTTTATCCTGCAACGCTCGGAGTCCTGTCAGAGCAAGACCTTTAGTTACAGTCATCGTAGCTTCATGAGCTGCCATGGTTGCCGCAGCTTTGGCAAATGCAGGTGTGTGATTACCCCCTTTGGGTTCGGTCGGAATAGCTGAGGGAGAAATCAGCTGTTGATCGCAATAGAGAACATATCATTACCATAGACTGGGTGAAGTGCGGGCAAGGCTAGTAAGAGTAAGAAGTCCTTCATGCCCGGCCTTTCAAAATGTAATTACTAACCGAATGACACATTTCCCTGAAATGAAGAAAAGGTGGTCAGCAGGGGGAATCAACGGAGAAACGCAAGCCTCACAAAGTCTGTTGAGGCTGATGATCCATCTCCGTCTGATACCATACCATAGTTCCTCCCGACCTTGTCGGCGAATTCTTTCCCTGTAACAATCAGATGACCGAGGTGAGCTTGACATTGATAATTGAAAGATTATCACTTGCCAAGAACGCTATTCTGGAGGAGCTCATAGTACGGAGTCGTGAAATTTATCTTGACTTTACATGCCGTTGCTAGGGCAGCGGCTCTGATCCCGGAAGAGTTGGACGCTATCATTCTGTGAATCGCGGTGAAACGCTTACTCAAAACAAGACTTGACACGCTCAGCGAATTCATCTACTTCCCCATGGGTGGGTGCGCGGACGATCCAGGTCATATGTGCGTAGTCAGGTATAACTGGGGACCTTGTATTCAGTGTCGGCCACCCACCTTAGACAGGTGATACATACCATTTGCGGACCAATTCTTTCCACCTAGGATGCCGTGAATACGATGGTCAGGCTTTGTCTGTTGTCGAAGGACGGAGATACTCGAGTACGCCAAGAAGGCGGCGTCGAGGGCATTAGTTCCTTCCCTGGAAAGAGGGTTATGATATATGGGGTCAGAATTTGGAGGACGGAGATGTCCTTACCATGGGGCGGCCCCCGCGTGTGCGCTAAAAAGACAAGTCAGCTGCGATGATCAGAAACAAAGTTAACGGGGCTGCTTACCTTTGCCCAAAATATTCCACTTCTGCCTCTTGCATCGCCGTCGTCGTGCCAAAATTAGCCGAGTTGGAAGGTCCGGGACCCGGATGACACCTGCAAGGTCCTCAATGAGGCTTGATTTAGGAAGACGAGACCTACTTACATGATGCATAGATCCATATCTTTATATGCACCGCGTTCCAGCAGGATGATCTTACCACCCACACGTTCTTCGGCTGTTCCGGAAATCAGAACTACTATTGGTGTGAACTGGAATGCTGGATTGATTGCTTACCGGGCGTACCGAGAAGTATAATCTTTCCTGGGATATTCAATGCTTCCAGGGTAGCCTTTACAGCGATGGCGACCCCACAACCGCTGATGGCGATAAGGTTGTGGCCGCAAGCATGGCCAATACCGCTGAGGCCATCCATTTCTTGAGGATGTGAGGACCATAAAAGTCAAGATAATCTATATTCTTACCAGAGTTTATACCGAGAGTGCTACCGCCTTTTCCGTGCGTGTATTCGGCACGCCAGGCGGTATTCAGTCCCAGATAATGTCTGGTGACCTGAAAACCATGAGTCTCCATGTAGGCACAGAGAAGATCGTGGGCATATCTACAGGAGAAATTTGAGAGCCGATATATGAGAGTCGGATTATTTACTGACCGTTCTTCGAAACCGAGTTCTGGATGATCTAGATCATGTCCGTGTCAGCGGGCGATGGTAGACAGGTGGTGGTAACCATATAGATACTTGCCATGAATTTTCAAGCTAAGCTGACGAAGACTGGAACTGAGACTGTCCAGAGTGGGATTGACAACGTTGAAGAACTGTTGACGCGGGAAGGAATCAAGCTGAGGACCTTGGGGCGGAGAATAGGTTGGAACAGGATCCGTATTATTCCACCATGTCGGGGATGCTCCATAGGAGTAGTCGCAGCAAAGGTTCAGACAGCCCTGTTCACGTCCATCACTTGTCTGCAAAATGATTACAGCTCTGCCGCTTGCCTTTGAACATCCAGTCTCTAGCTTCGAGGGCTCCGGACTGGCAGGTTGGGGTTGAGATCTGTTCTTCCTGAAGAAATTGCCGAAGCAGCCAGCCTGAATATCGAACATGGTGGCGTGGAAGAACGGTAGCCGCAACGGCCCTGATAATGCATGCCACAGTTATATACAAAGAGTACCGGCTATGCACGTAAATGTAAAATTCGCTAAGCGATCGCTGACGTAGAGCTTCTGATCAAAAGTGCCTCGATCAACTGCAGTCTCCCCTGCCGCGAAGTTCGGACCTGAAATAAGCAGTTTCGTCTTCCGCCAACTTGATAGTTGAAGATCCGCCTCAGATCTATTCCAACAATGCATGCTATCACACTGTTATCATGCGCAGTCTATCGCGAGCCAATCGATATGATATTTTTTCGAAAAGGGCTGGATGCCTCCCCCTGGTCCCGAAACCTTCCATGGCCGTAGGCGACGGACCGCTGGTGACCGGTGATTCCATCATCGAGTGGGAAGCTTTTGCCACGAATACCGATGCTACATAGCAGCGGACTTGCTTGACGACCGTGCCCTTGCAACTGGACGAGTTGACAATCCGGAGAATTGTGAAACCTTACGGGAAGTCCTTGCCGCGCGCTCCAATAATATTGCATCATTCTCGGACAGCTTCGAACCGTGGAAGGCCACTGCTCAGTGTTGAAGGGAGGCACTGTTCTAGATTGTTCCTAATACACAATTTTGGGTGGAATGATAGTTGAAAGGCATCTTGTAGCCGTGGCACGAAATTCGTGCTATATGCAGATTAAAGTTTCAATTGTCAAATTCTGAAGAACCAATTCCAGGTCAATGGTCAATGTTCAACTGTCATATGGTAATACAATGCATATTAGTCACTATAGCATTGACCAAGGAGTCCGATAAGGAAGGGAACAAGCAGTCAAAGGAGTAGAGCCAGTTATTTGACTTTACTGGTGGGTTGTGTTAGTAGAATTGAGTACGGAAAATCTCGCATCGATGCATGTTCCTAAGACCCGAGTAGATGACACTGAAGGAGATCTAGCTGTGTTGCGAGTTTTTTCCCGCGACCAGGACCAATACTCGTCAAAGGACACTAGTACTCAAATCAAGTAACTTGAGTTTGCCTCTTGAGCTTGAGTCTGGACTCTGGACTCTGGACTCTCTAGTGGCTGGTCTAGTTAAAACAAAAATGAGAGCGAACAATAATATGGGCTTGACCGGGAATTGAACCCGGGACCTCCTCGAACTGACATTACCCTAACAAGGAATCATACTACTAGACCATCAAGCCGACCCGCATGCTCAAGGAGAGCTACACAGGGAAGATCCACTACTACACTGCCAAGAATTTGAAACACACGACAATACAGCTCTTCGTCTCTTACGATCCGGATCCTGGCGGGCCATGACATCCACTGTACAGTCGACGCAGGCCGATGTCTTGTCCCAGATTTTCCAAGGACTGAAGAACAAGAGCCATGAAGTACGGCTCGAGTCTTCTGTCAACTTGCGCCGATATGTGAATTTCTCCGTCATTCCCCAAGTTCTTGGTAGCTCATGCTTATGTCCAGGTTGCCACTACTGTTGCTGAGATGACACCTGATGCTGCTGTGAAGTTGTGGGACGACAATATCAATCGCAGGCTTTTCGATCTTATGCATAGTCAGAGTACAACGGAAAACTTTGGTGGACTATTGGCTATAGGCGCGTCATTGGCCATAATCGTACTTGCGACGCGAACTAACACAGTATTTAGACCATCTCCTTGAAATCACTAATGCAGAAACTATCGAGTCCAAGCGCAACTTATTTCGATTCTACAACTATGTCAAGCACCTCCTTCCCCACTCAGACATCAACCTCATGTTGGTGGCGTCCAAGACCCTTGGACAGATAGCACATATCGGCGGTTCTGCCTTTGGGGATCGATTTATGGACTACGAGGTTCCTGCTGCAATTGAACTGATGCAGCCTGAGAAACAGGAATCACCTCGATATGCTGGCGTCTTAATCTTGAAGGAACTCGCTCGAAACAGTCCCGGATACTTCCATTCACACATAAGCCTTGTGTTTGAAAACATAGTTGTCGTTCTGCGCGATCAGCGCGTTATTGTCAGAGAGGGCGCTGCGGAACTACTGGCAGCTTGCTTAGAAATTGTCGTACAGCGGGAGCGTCAAAGTCGGAACACCTATCTGAACGGAATTTTAACGGAGGCACAGGCAGGGTTGAGGATGCCACAACCAGAGATTATACATGGCTCGCTACTTACGTACAGAGAACTTCTTCTCCATGCTGGGATGGTGCGTCTACTGATATTCTCTGTTGACGTTCACAATGACGAATGTCTTTCAGTTTATGAAGGAGACTTTCATGGATACGGCGGAGAAAATTCTCCGATTCCGAACTCATCGAGACAGCCTCGTTCGCAAACAAGTTATTGCAATGATACCATCTCTAGCCGCTTATGACACGCAAACATTCAAAGATAATTACCTCCATAAATCCATGAGTCATCTCCTAACCCAACTCGAAAAGCCCCATGAGAGACAATTTGGTACGCTCGGGCATGGGTTATCGATGTCCGGTCGTCTGACCATTTTACAGCTTTCATTGCTATCGGACACACAGCCACCGCCATAGGCAGCGATATCAAACCATTTTTGGATTCGATTATGACGCATATCAAAGCTGGATTACAGAACAGAGGGTAAGTCACTGGCCTAACCTTCTGGAGCTAAGGATCTGAGTGCCAACTAGGAGGAAGAACACGACTTCAGAGGAGCCTATATTCCAATGCATCGGCATGCTAGCTGTTGCAGTAGGACCTCATTTGACCAAGTTGCTGCATGACCAACTCGACCTCATGTTTGCCGCTGGCCTTAGTGAGCCGCTCTGCCAAGCGCTGGCAGCTATAGTACATTATATTTCCCCTCTTTTGAGCACCATACAGGGTCTGTGTTACATTTCTGCTGTGTACATAGCTGCTTATGCTTTTGCAGATAAACTATTGGACTTATTGTCAATGATTCTTAGTGGTCAGCCTTACAAGCCCCTGGGGGCTCCGTCGACGTTGGCTAGAAACGAAGTTTCCACTGTCAACAGAGAGCTAAATGCACAGGTGAGCTCAATGTCACCTTCTCGCCAACAGTCGTTTCACATGCATTCAGGCTGCTGCCAACGACAAGAGCTCGGAGACAATCACACTGGCTCTCACAACCCTCGGCTCTTTTGACTTCACAGGTAAGCTTTGCACCATACGTTCCCCTCCCCGTGATCAAACCTCCTCCAGGGCACTTGTTGAATGAATTCGTTCGACAATGTGCGCTGCCGTATCTTGAGGACGATAACGCTGATGTACGGCGTGCCGCTGCTTTGACCTGCTGTCGTCTTTTCGTGCGGGACCCTATTTGCTATCAGTCCAGCAGCCATGCCATTGAAATTATCAGCGACGTTTTGGATAAATTGTTGACAGTAGGCATAGCTGACCCAGGTGAATTTCCTTCAAATATACATGCCTGGTGGTTCCTGATCATCCTCCAGACCCGTCAATCAGGCAGACTGTACTTTCTTCCCTCCACGAACGCTTTGACAAGCATCTAGCCCAGGCTGAAAACGTGCGATCCTTGTTCATAGCCTTAAATGATGAAGAGTTCGAGAATCGTATAACTGCGGTCTCGTTGATCGGTCGACTCGCGAAGCATAATCCGGCTTATGTAGTTCCCTCGCTGCGTAAAGCACTCATTCAGCTTCTAACCGAGCTGGAATATACGACTGTCATGTAAGTCATTTCCATTACTTAACAGCCTCTTATGATTGAACATTTCACTAGTCGGAATCGCGAAGAATGTACTCGGCTACTCTCGTTGCTGATCAGTGCTACTCAGCGTCTTATCAAACCCTACGCTATACCTATTCTAGTTGTCTTGTTGAAAAAAGCCAATGACTCCAATCCTGTGGCGGCATCCAACGTCTTGATGTGCTTGGGAGAGCTTGCGTGTGTTGCTGGGGAGGAAACAATGGACCATATTGGAGATATCATGGAAGTCTTGACGGAGAAACTGTCTGATCCGGCACTCATCGAACGAGACGCTGCTCTTCACACCCTCGGACAAGTTTGCTCTAGCACCGGGTATGTCATTGACCCGCTTGTCGACTATCCGCAATTACTTCCGCTTCTGGGGAAGATCTTGAAGTCGGAAAGTTCGCAGGCTGTCCGCCGGGAAGTGGTGAAGGTGTTAGGTATCCTTGGAGCGGTTGATCCGTACAGACGGAAGGTAAGGTCCTTTCCAACTTCACAGTAGTTATCTCACGCTTGTATAACAGGAGCAGGGAAGTTCAGTTGAAGATGGATCTAGTGAAACGCTGATTACTGCGGTTAATCAAGTTCCCATAAACCAAACTCCGACCATGGTAACCGATGACTACTATCAAAATGTGGTTATCAACGCGCTGTTGGCTATTTTGAAAGACCAGTCCCTCAGTACACATCATCATACAGCAATCGAAGCCGTCATGTCAATCTTCAAGACTCAGGGCCTGAAATGTGCCTCATTCTTACCGCAGGTATGCACAAGAATGAATATCTATAATGTCCATAGCACTGACTTAACTCAGATCATTCCTGCGTTTGCGACAGTGACGAAGCACTCTGCTGCTCGCCTACAAGAATTTCACTTGCAACAGCTGACAATCTTGGTTGGCATCATCAAGCAGCATATACGCAACTATATGCAGATCATCTTCAACCTCATCAAAGACATATGGGAGAACGCTGCACTTCAGCTTCCAATCGTGTCCCTTATCGAAGCCTTGAGCCAGGCATTGAATGCTGAATTCAAACCTTTCTTACCTTCTGTCCTCCCGCTGGTCCTGAAGGTGTTCGACGGAGAGCTGAATGATAAAAGGACGAATACACAAATGAAGATCTTCGACGCTTTCCAAACTTTTGGTGCCAATATCGAAGAGTACCTCCATCTCATTATCCCTCTGATTGTTAAGTCTTATGACCGCTTGGATGGCACGATGCCCCTTCGCAAGAAAGCCATTCAGACCATCGATGGATTATCAAAGCGTGTCAATTTCTCCGACCATGCCTCACGGATAATTCTCCCTTTAGTTCGTGTATTGGAGGGTTCCCAAAATGAACTACGGCTTGCGGTTATGGATACGTTGTGTTCACTTTGCATTCAACTGGGTTCAGACTTTGCTATCTTCGTGCCCACTATCAACAAGGTTGGTGTTTCATCTCTACAAGTGACAGAAAACATCAATTCGTGTGTTTCTACCAGGCTCTCGTTCGCAATCGCATCCCTCATGTCAAGTATGAGAACTTGATTACCAAGCTTCTCAATGGCGAACAGTTGCCTCAAGAGCCTGGGGTGTTAGAATTACTGTATGTCTTGTACTGGATTCTTCACGTTTTAATTTGACACGCTCCATAGTTCAATCGAGAACGCGAAGTCGGCCGAATACTCTGTTCCTGCTGCCGAAGCTGCCAAGCTCACAGTGAACCAGCAGCATTTGAAGACGGCGTGGGATACTTCTCAGATTAGCACGCGGGACGACTGGCTTGATTGGATCCACCGCCTCACCGTCGAACTCATGAAGGAATCGCCTTCGCACGCTCTTCGTGCCTGTATGAGTCTCGTCGACATCCATACCCCTTTGGCCAAGGAATTGTTCAACCCGGCATTCTTGTCGTGCTGGGGAGAACTTTACGATCAATATCAGGTCTGTTATTTTTTTCCCCATATAGCTGTCTTGATTAATCCAGGCTCTCTTGCCAACAGGAGGATCTCGTGCGATCGGTCGAAACAGCATTGACCTCCGGTGCAGCACCTTCGGAATTGATACACCGTTTGCTTGGACTCGCAGAATTTATGGAGCACGAAGAAAAACGTTTGCCTATAGAATACAAAATTCTAGGAGAGTGCGCATTTAAGAATTTGGCTTACGCGAAGGCTCTCCACTACAAGGAACTCGAATTCTTTTCTGAAGCGTCCACTGCTACTATCGAGTCGCTCATCACGATCAATACCCGTCTTCAACAACATGACGCCGCTTCGGGGGCGCTGGTCATGGCTGAAGACCATCACGACATTAGCAAACAAGAGGAATGGTACGAAAGATTAGGAAAATGGCAAGAGGCGTTAAGTGTCTATGATCAGAAGGCAAAGCTGGATCCTTCTTCCCCTGATGTTCAAATTGGTCGAATGAAGTGTCTGCATGCATTGGGTGACTGGGATCAGTTGGCGACCCAGGTCGATGAGATTTGGGCCAATGCCAGCGCG